AGCAGGAAGCAGCCTTGTTGAAAGAAAAATTTGTTTCTTGAGCTATTCCTCCTGGCTAGTTCCTGCAATTAGCTATAAGGATGTATATAAAAGGAAAACTACCACCCAATAAATTTTGTTTCATCATCACTCAAATCCTACATTTAATCCTCAGATATGACTCCCATACCACTATCTCTAGCAACAATAACAAAGACATTTTTCCAACAGTCATTTTAAAATTGAATTTCCTAGAAAGAAGTTACCATTGAGAATACTTCTAGCCAGTTTGGAAACATGAATATTCATGTGCCAATTAAAGAACTCTGGGATGAAGATGCAGACACTGAGCTTATAATCCTTAAGAAGAAAGAGAAGTGGTCTTAAGAACTAAATGCTAACAAACTATACATTGGTAACACTAGTTGAAGTTACAAGTAAAAATAATGTTAGGCAACAGAAGTGATTATTTTAAAAAACAACAAAAAAAAAATGGTAGCTTCCTGGAAATAAAGGAATGCATTTAAAATCCAGTACTCCTCAAACGTACCAATAAAATATTGGAAAAAGAGAACTGGTCAACAGAATATTAGCTGGACTTTCAACTTCTTCAAAAAACATCATTGACAGAAAAAGAAAAAACCAACAAAAGTTACCTAAGCAAAATGAAGCAATAATGCTTCAACACTGTGAAGGATAGCCAGTATATGTCATCTGCAATACAGGTAAGCAATGATGATTGCAAATTATTTAGAATCACAGAATAAAGTTAGTGGATAGTAGAAGAAAATTACAGTGAAACTCTACAATGAAGGAAGCATATCCATGCATTACTGATGTTCAGTATGTAGTTGTGGTGAGGGGAAAAAAAAAAGCCAACATTCAGATGGTTTAGTCTGCTTCAGTAGCAGAAGAAAACCTTTTCAGTCCAGTTTTTGCCCCAAGCAAAGACAAGCCATCTGGCTCCTCTCACATGCTGTCTATTGCTCACTAGGGTGAGGATTTTTCAGCCATGTAGCTCTATGTGGCAAAATTCTTAATTTTGAGTGGGGAGAATATCTTAAAAGTGAAGTAAAATCCGATTCTCACAACTTCACTCTCCCCGCAGTCTGCTAGTACAACACTGACAGGCTTTTGCTGAAAAGAATTAAGGAAACACTTGATCAGGACTCTGTTAGGGTTGCAGAGAAAAAGAAAACATTCTACTGATTAAAAAAAAAAATCTGCAAATTAATAGATAATCTAGTAGTATGGTGAGAGATGGGGCTGAATTCCTCATGGACTTTTGAAAGATACTCCACACAGTAGCAGGAGTCTTAAGTCAAAGAGCAACACTGCAACAAGCCACAATCCTCAAGTGCAAAAAAAAAAATCTGACTATAATACGGCAACTCTGAAAACTGCCACAGCAGCTGACTCGAGAGGGAAGTTATAAGCCAAAGAATTTTTTGGGCCTCCTAGCAACATTCTTTGCTGTCATCAGACACCACAGTTGATGTTGCTAAAAGTTGGTGCCTGTGCCTGAACAAGTAGGGGCAAGAAGAAAGGGTGTGAAAATCCTTTTCCTGATTAGTCATGATCTACCTGATGCACAATCATCAGGACAGAAAGACACAGCATGATGAGTACCATAGAAAATACAGTTAATCTGACAACAGCAATAATAGGTAGAACAGGTAGTTCTTTTAATACTTCTGTTAGTATTTTCCCATATTAACATGAAATGCCACATATATATACACACACACACAAAGACATAATTATGCAATTCATAAATCTCATGCTAGTTCTACACAGAATTTTTATTATACTCAATAGAATTATCAGGACTTGAGACAGAATTCTTATCCTCTATGAAAAAATCAATATAGCATACTCTTCAAACTTTGTTTTCTCACCTATTTTACGATACTAACTTTTGCATGAAACTCATAGTTCAAGAGTTTTAAATTTAAAGTAGTGATCTACTTTTTAAAAATAATAACTTCAGTTAAGATCAGAATATTAATTAGACCAGCTTCTGCCACTCATTTTTTTAAATAAAGTAATTACAACACCCACACTTGTTACTATGAAAGTTTTTCTAAATCTCTCCATTGTATTCAGAATACTTGTAATTGTGCTGATACAATGTTGGTATAGATACTTTATGATGCTTAATACATTAATATTATTGGCATAATTTAATTAAGACTTAAATCCCCTGCACTTTGCTGCACATTGATTTGGTGGTTATGGAAGCTTTTATATTACAACTACTGACATATTTAGTTATAACAATATAGATGTTTATATAAAGCACAGTGAAAAAAGTGAAATTATGCAAAAATACTCATGTTACACTTCTGAGAAAAAAGTGTTTCCTAAAACACATAGTAAAAAAAATTTAATCTGCTGTCTTCTTAATGTTTTAATCTTTATTTAAGATTTGTCTATGTCCAAAAAATTTAAGTCCTAGCTACATGCTTGAGTAAATGTAATGTTAGTTGATTATAATGAGGTCAAGAATATTGACATCTACTGTAATTCTCTTCAAAACATCATCCTGGACCAGGTGCTTCTGCTTTATAAAAGCAGGAAAGTATTCTTCTCAACTGATTGTGTCTGAGAAGTAAGAACTCGGCACACACATCAGTAGCTGTATATAAGATAGTCTTCATTTTCATAGGGATTCAAGTCTAAATTCAACAAGTTTAAACTATATTTTTAACAACAAAAATTAGCAGTGAAGTTTTTCCTCTTCTATTTTTGGTAATAAAGTAGCATGAAAGGTTTTCCTAAGTATAAAAATGGTCTTGCTATATAAGCGGCTAACTTTATTTTTAGAGGCTCAGTTAATTAATGGAAGCCTTTGTTTATTTGTCATTTATCTGCTTTTAAATACTTACAGTGAAAAATACGGAAATCAATGTATGGATGAGAACCTCTTCTCTCTGTTTCAAATCCTGCCCGACTTCTTACTCGCACATCTCCTAGAAACAGGGTCAAGAGTGAAATAAAAGTGTGGAAGAGTGGCAGAGATAAAATGCAAATGAACATAGCCTGGGTGGGGAGGGGGTAAAGATTCATTTATTTAATGGATGAGGGTTATTCAAACAATAGACCTACTTCAATGCTTTTTGTTTTAAAGGTGAAATTCAAAACAAAGTTTGAAGACTTGTTAAACATGCAATCGCATGCTTTCTTGTCAAAATTATCTCCTGCCTAAGCATACGTTGCCAGAAGCATGTGATAAGCATACAGATGAAATTAGGAAGCTTACTACACCAGGATGGTAAAATTGCACCTTAATATGACAGGAAACAAGAACATTAAAAGTTGATTTGTTCCTTAGTAGCACATACAAAACAGTAACATTTTATATAGTACAAAAAAATATTTAGCTTCTAGAAATGGTAGCTTTTAGCAAATAAGCTAGTTACAATGTGGTTTTATATCACATAACAGAATATTTTCCCACTAGCATTTACTTACTTGTGCTCAGCTGTTTGAATATTACACAAGAGCCTATTAAAATACCAAAACTCAGTATTAAAATTTTATCAAACTATTTTGCACTGCAATTAGCTTCAACCTGAATCTTTTAGCATGCTACTTGATTTCTACTTATGTACTTTACCAACTGAAAGCTGATCAGTATTCTTTTGTTAGGTATTTGTATGCATTAACGTAAGCAGTTCACCTGCATTAAAAGCTTTCACCTAAAAACCCTTTAGCAATTACAAATTTGGGCTAACTTTTGAGGGTCAAATGCAATAATGTTTCCATCCTCAAAACCTAACAAAAAAAGTGAAATTTAAGATATGAAAATGTTCTGGTTTCTAATTATGAAAATCCTTCAAGTGTAGTATCCTCCTCTCCCCAAACACAGTGATTTTCATATGAATCAAAAACAAGTATGTAACACAAGGAACTAAGACTGATTTTGTAAGAAGAAAATTTTTATATTTTATATATATATATATGTAAATATAGCTATTTCATTTCAAGCAACCAATAACATCTTGAGAGTGTTTTTTCCTTTTCTTCTCCAACCTGCTAATTTGTAATGCTGAAGCAGGCAACCTGTCAGAAAATAGCTGAAGACACTGACTTTTAATACTTAACAGGTATCTTTCTAGAGATACAGAACTATAAACACTGACGTATCTATAGTGACACACTTCACATGAATGTTATCTTGTGAGGCACACTGGAAGGACCACAGAAGATAAGTAGGCCCAGGGCTCCCCAAATGATGTGTTTAAAGTTTACGTATCAGTAAAAACGTACCAAATACATGTGGGTTTCAGTTTACTCCTTTTGGTTTTTTGAAACTGAAAACCTTAACACAGCTGCAAGGCAAAGTAACCCAGTTACTACCTGGAAATATTATTTTTCAGATCACTGCCAGTATACTACTTGTAAGGGTTTCAAGCATTCATCTGAGCACAGTGCAAGAAGCTTATTTTGTTCCAGGCAATACAGAGGCAGCAAACTGTAGAACTCTTCTGTTAGGCACAAGGAACTGGTGAATTTTATTTAAGTTAATAAAAAGGAAAAAGGGAGGAAATTTCGGAAAAGAGGCGGTGAATGCATTAGTAGCTGTGTATGAAAATATCAGTTTACATGGAGGAAAATGCAACTTTCTTTACCTTTCACTCATATTTATCTGGGAAAATCAGTCATAGCTACAGCTGTGTGATTGAGTTCACCAGCTGAATTAAAAGAAAAACAGAAGTTCTTTTTTAGTTGAGCTTTTTGGGTTTTTTTTCTTTTTTACATAATTAGTGAATTATATTTAGTTTTCAAGGTAGTCTTAACTTTCAAAACTTACCAACCATAACATGAATTAGCAAATAGTTTGTCAGTGTACAACTAGGTTTTGGTGAAAAATTCACTTGTTCAAAGTGTCAAGAATATGTAACGTTCACAGAAAAATACCTGAAGACTAACATGGAATTCTGCAAATAACAAAATAAAGCAGGTTCATTGGATAAGTGATCTCCAGAAAGATCTCTGCTTTGTTCTTTATTTACTAGCACCTAGTCTAGCAGCATAGATAGAATAATAGTATCCCTGTTACTCTTGAAATGCCTGCAGTGCTGTGGATTTTGAGTAGGAAAACAAGAAAAACTCTACAAGTGATATGCATAAGTGCAACTAACTACATTGCTTGTAACAGGAATTATTAAAACATCAATTTACAGGAATAGTTAACCAAAAGAAGAAATTATATACTAAAAATGCACATGCCAAATTATTAAAAAGGCAATTGTAATAAGATTACAGCAAAATGAGGGTATTTACTTGCATACATACGAAATGAGAAATTCTCAGCAAGGAATGCAAAATATTTTCATTAACTAGTTGTTAAACAAAATTCTCTCTACTTGCTCATGGTAGAAGCAGAGGGTATTTTGTTAAGAATCAAGATATCAACAATGGATGAACTTTTCTAGAATATTTTTGGATGTATTCTGGAAAAAGCTATCACTTCTACAGAACTGGAATTTAATCACAGTAAATAAAGTAGAAATTCCTGTTGGGCCAAAACAATAGTAGAACAGCTGTCTCCAGTATCATATACAGAACTACTGCATTTTTCAAGATTTCAGACAATAAATGTACTTAGAAAAAAATTGGTACAAATGGAATTTGAAGATACTATACATCCAATCTGAAGTTTATGTCTATGGAAGCATAAAATGGAATAGCATCAAACTGGCTGCACATTATGAGATGATGTGCTACCAGCAGTGTGAAACTAATCTCTACTACATATGCGTAGTTCATCCCAAAACATCCAGAAATACTGGAGCATTGTTACGCATTCACTGCTCAGTTAATCTGACCTGCAAAGATCAATAGATCCCAAGAGCACCCACTTCATTGTGCTTGCACACAACATAACACATTCACATCTATTTGCTTGGGAAATCCTGCACAAGTTTTTTGTAACCCTATGACTCTGAAATGACACAGAATTTAATTTTAAGGAAGGGACATGTTTACCATCATAGGTAACTCAAAAAAAAGGCATTAAGACATTTCAGATTTAAAATTACTTTTATCAGAAAAAAAGGACACTGTTAAATAATTCCTTCAAACAGCAACAGAAGTCCAACCCCAGAACCAATCAATATTATGGTAACTGAAAGGTAATTAAAATTCAACACCTAAAACAGAAGAGCTTATGAATAGTTTTCATTTATTCAGGCCTTTTAAAAAAAAAAAAATCAAAAGTGATTGAAAACATCTTTTGAAACCATCAGATCGCACCATTTGCTTATAGGTAGATTTCCTTGGGGCAGCAGGAGGCAAGTGGTAGCAAGCTGACAGTTTTTATCTTAAGTGTCTCTTCTTGAGCCACTTTGGCCATTCTGAGAAGACGCCTCTGCTTCCTTCTAGGAAGCAACAACTAGGGGAACACATTCAAGTCCAGAATCTTAATGACAGTGGACTTCCAGGAATTTTTTAACTCTTTGAGAGTTTCTGTGAATCCAAAGAATCAAGAGAAAGACTTCAAAAACGTGAAGTCTTCCTTTCAAAATCTGATTTTGTGCATAAATATGACAAAATATCTGTTGGCTGAGTATTTAACTAGATTTTTTTCTGGAATAATTCTACATGACCAGCATTTTTAAGACAAAGGCCATATACAGGCAGAAACTCAATTGAAGACTGAATAAAATAGTGGAAGAAGGAATGCAGGGAGAGAGGTTTGCAGCTGCAACTGGAAACTGAAAAGGAATCAGGGCCATAACAAAACTTACCTTTAGACAGATCATTTAGTTCCTACCCCTCTATCAGATTCCTGCTCACACCGCAAGGACAGCTCTGATACTTACGAGGCAGCTGAAATGCCATAGCTGACATCCCTGTGCGTTAGGGTTACACAGCACATACTTCGTGCTACTCTAATACTCCAGTGTGGCACAGTAACAATGCAGCAGCTGCTTGGGGAGCTGAGGCCTTCTGGAGCAGGGGCAGAAATCTCAGAGATCACGGAGGACAGCTGGGAGCAGAAATTACAACAGCCACCTCAAGGTAAACCACCCAAGTCAAAGCCATGGAGTTGTGAAGAGCAGGATTTCCAGAAAGAACTACTAGTTTCACAGATAAAAGTTCCTATTAAATTTGTTAGAGAAACAGATGACAGGTCAGCCGAATATGCCAGAATTAAAACAAAAGGATTACAACATAACAACCGTTACCAGAGAAGAGCGTGCACCTGCATTCCACAGTAGCTTGCCTCCACAGTTTCCTATTTGAAGTGATCAAGACCTCTAGAGGAGGGTAAAATGCTCCAGTTTTAGTTAAGAGGTTCATGCTCACCGATACAAGGAGTCAGTGCTCCACTCTTTCTACCCCATGCACAGTAGCAAAACTTTCAGGCAACATAAAAAAAGAAAAAGAAATCAGAAAAGCAAAGAAGAATCAAGAAAGTATCAAGATTACACAGAAGCATTTACAAGAAATTTTGAGAATTCCTTATAGTTGCTAAGAGAAGTAGCTGACCGATGTGATGCAGATATATTAGCCCCTCCAAGGTCTTAAAAGAAAAATTCTACAATGCTGCATCTGTATCTATATTTTAAAATAGTAAATAAGCCACTCGGGAGTGGCTTAGTATATATTTTGGGAATGGGGTATGACAGATGAGTCAGACTCAATGCTGTTTGTTTATATCGACACTGACGAAAACAGTTAAGAGTTAGTTGTTTATTTTGTGTGCCCCTAAAATGTGATATTTTAAATTGAACCTGGAAACACTGCCATACAACAGGAATTTCTGTTTATTTGGTGTAAATGAACTCCCACTGGAACAGCCTGAAAACATTAAAGGAAGCAACTCTACAGCTAGCAGAACTAAAAAGAAACAGAGAGAGGTGTCCTAGATATCCTTAAGCTTTATATTTTTGGTCTGCTAAAATAAACAAACACCTTATTGAGGTATGTTTTATTAGTAGATATAGTCTGTATGGAATAGTAACCAAATAAAAAGGCAAAACCTCTCATGACTGGGCCTAAATTCCCATTCAGTTACAGCTGAGGATTCCTTACAGCTTACTCTGCTAAAGTGTACCACGATAAATAAAAAAAAACCCAAAACCCTCACAATGAACTATAATACTTCATATTTCTTGCAAAAAATTTCTAATTTAACACATTCATTCCTGAATCTACTTTGATATGCATGTTTCTACATACTGATGCATTCAACTGTTCAGCTTTCAGGCTGGTCTTTTTTACAGTCCATTTACAAATACGACCATAGTAAGTCTGTAAAGAGTTCCTAACTTGTACAGTATAGTCTACATAACATTTGGGAAAACAAAGTGATCACCAACAGGTGAGAAAGTAATGCAAATTTAACATACTCATTCAGGCATCCAATGAGCAGGTTTTTGTTTGCTTGTTGGCATCCTCCTCCCCCCAGGCAAAGTTAGAAGAGGTCAATACTTTGAAAGACTTACTGCCTCTGAACAGCTAGCAGCATTGAACAGCAACATATGCCGGGAAGAGTTATGCTATTCATAACAAGCACCAATCACAGTCTAATAATTAATTCCCATGAGAGAACAAGTGAAAATTTAATTTACTTAACATCATGTTCTGAATGTATTCCAGTTCTGCCTATGAGAATAGTCAAAGAAATGTTTCAATACAAATGAGATTTTTCCCTTAGATCAGGTGTACATTCCAAGAACCACAGGAAGTCATGCTTTGCTTTCCTCTAGATTTACTTGAGCATTATCACAACCCCTTCTGCAGAAATTATGGGCCTAACTACCTCATGGTATAGTTAAACTTTCAAAGCAGCAAAAGCAATCAGGTTATTCTACCCAGAAATGAAGAATTATTTTCTTCCAAGCTGAGTTTCTATCACTAGCAGATTAACTTTTAGAAGATAAAAATACAGTATTTACAGTACCTTTAATTCAAGCATATCATTGAATTTTTAAAATAAATTAATACATATTTCCCCTGTTGTGGAATTAAAAGTACTCAATTTCTATTTTCTAATTACAGCACAAAAGAAATTTAGTTTTTGAAAAGTATCACAAAATCAAGGAAACAAAACTACCTCAAGCCTGAATTTCCTTTCCTATTCTTATGACTAGGCTCATCCTGCAAAAGTATGGTTAAAAATGAAAGTTAAAATAACTTTCGAAAATGAAATAAGCTTATTTCCAACAACAGCAAAAAAACCAACAGCTTTTTCAATAAACTTTTAGAAGCCAGCACCTACTGTCCTCCTCCTCTTAACAAATCTCCAAGGTAATTACATTCTCCTATCAAAAAATGCTTCAGTAGACAGTCAGTGTTCTAGTATTAACAACTTCACAAATTTAAAAATCAAAATAATTGAAAAACAGAAGTGCCAAGATGCTAAGTCAAAATTGGATTTATATATACATATGCACGTGTATGCCTACATACCTAGATTCTGACTATAATTTCATATATATACACACACTGTGTACACATGCATATAGCTTACAACTTTAAATTCGTAGACAACACAGTTATTAATTTCTGGGGACTTTAATACGTACCATATACAACTAAACTGAAAAGACCCAGAGCATAAAAAGACATTTCTGGCTGACTTAGTTGGAGCCAGTTAAGAATTTGTAATCACTAGCCGTAGATGTTCATTGAGCAGTGCAAGACATCAGGCAAGTATTCATAGTCCATTTTAGCATAAAATCATAGCTCAAGACAGCTTAATTTAAAATGGCGTAATTTTGCAGTGAAACAGAGTATATATATACACACAGTCCCCATGGCATCTGCACCACCAGCAGCCTTCAGAAGAGGTAAAGGAAGTACTGAATCCAGCAGCCAGATCTGCAAGAGCTTTGCATCTTTCTCCTCTCAACGACTGACCTCAACTCCTTCAGTGCACTCACTATCACAGAGGGTCTCCCCCGGCTGCTTGCCCCTCCCAGTACTGTTCTTTCATTTCATTTCAACTTTCCCCTTTATCTAGTTGCTACTCTGAAAACATTCTTCAGTAAATTGCCCGAACTACTGGCCCTGTCACATGTGCTTTCCCCTCTCAAATCATCTTCTACAATTAATAAGAGAAGTATTGTTTAAAATCATGCAATTATTTTAAGAACACCTTGAGCATTTCATAGCCTCAGTACTGAAGTTTTTAAAAGTGTGTGGTAACTCTCACACAACTATTCTCTAAGCTACAGTTTTAGCCAGAAGGATATCATGCAGAGGTGATAAATTCCTACACAGAAATAAAGATCAGTCATGAGTCACTTGGAAAACTTAACTTCTACCAAACATGTTACGTTAATTATAAGAACTTCTTATTTTTTTAATGTAGGAGTAAAACATCCAACATAACTGTTAACTCAGAAGAAAAAAGAAAGAAGGCAAACAGCCAAAAAACCTAAGTCAACACAAAAGAACCCAAACTCTTCTAAAGAATCTTACCAGAATATTATCCAGGAGAAAGGGAATGATAAGTTTAAGAGTTCAATACTCAAATAAAAAAAAATATTTGAAATCAATCATAAATGTTAGAATTTTGCAATATAGAAACCTGTATGCTTACCTAGCATACGAATGTACAATGCAGTCTGATCAGAGCTGTCATAGGAAATTGCTCCACGTCTCTGCCAAAAAACCAAAAAGTATATTTTAAAAATTATTCAGTTCTAACTTGCATAAATTGAAATGAAAATAAAGTATCAATCATCCATTTCCAATTTAACACTCCAAATTAATTCTGGAAATTTGAACATGCATCTTTCAAATATATACATACTGATTTTGTTTTAGGAGGACAAAGAAAGCACAGGAATTGGTAACGAAGAGATTATGAAAAACAGGACCAGAGTGTGGTAAAAATATCCCCCCTAAATTTCCTTCCAGATGCTCCTCAATCATTCCTCACAATAAAAAGGACACAGAACAAGATTAAGCAGATATAAAAAGTGTTCCTCATAGCCTTCTAGAATGCAATACTTAAAACAAATACTTGCAGTTCCTGGTTTGTTTATTTACTTTTACCTATGGGGTATTTCCATCTTTCAAAGCTAAAATAGTCTTAAAAGAAGTAAAATAATTCAAATGACACCATTATTGCCCTCCTATGTATTCAACTTATATCCTGCAAGGGCAGGACTTCACTGCCACATGCTACTTTCATTCCACCAAGTACTTTCTGCAGGCAGATCAAGGTACCACTGAAGCAGGATGTAACACATAAAGGTATTTTAAAGAAAACAAGCAAGCAGTATTTCACATTTGATGATAAAAGTCTAGAAGAGTCATCAAACTATCTATGCATGACATTGAGAAACTCCCATATAGGCTGCATTACTTACCTACACAAAACATATATATGTTCCACACATATCTAGATAATGTGATAATGGTTAGAATCCAGGAAACCTCCCGCAAGAGTTGTAAACTGGTCCTCTAATAGCTAAAAACTGGAGGAATGTTCTCATAGTTACACAACACTGGCACCATGTAGTCTTCAAATCTTGGAATGATCTAGCACCCAGCCTCATGTCTTGCCTTTACTGTACTTTCAGCATCTTCTGCCACTTCCGAGAGCCTTCATTAATGTTATTACTTAACCCTAGGATCAGAGGATCACCTTCACAATTGGACTTCAATTTCTTCAAAGAAGTAAGATTTTTTTTGTGTGTGTGCATTAAAAACTCTTACGACCTTTCCCTGTCCACCACACTTCTTATTTACGCTGAAGACAGTGAAGTCCTCGGCACCACAAAGGGTTGTCACACCTCTTTGAGAGCTTCAGGTAAAAGCCAACCTGGAGGTGAATGCAGTCATCCATTTTTTCCCCTCTGTGTAGTGTGAAAAACACTACATCAATGACACATAACAGCCTGAAAATGTGCAAGTTCAAAAGATGGGAAACCAAACCATGTTAGGAAACAGGACAGAAAAACTGATGTTGGCTATTGAAAAGAATTCTAAAAGAAAGAAAAAGAGATAAAGAAACAAATTACTTGGAAGAGGGAACAGGCAAAATTGCCTATATGCACCTACCTACAGAACGAAATGAATGCACACACAGAAAGACTAGAGATTAATAACCTCATCAGCATGATTTGTACAACTGATGTGTTAAGTGTAACTTCTGGGTTTGGAGTCTTAATTATTTGAATATTTTTCATGTTAAAACAAAAAAAGAAAACCTTACACTTGAAGTCAGAGAAGTTTTTCCAAAGGTAAGCTTAATATTTAATTACAGAAATGACCAAAGACCTAGCTCTAAATGGGGTCCAATTATAGTAGCTGTTGTAAAGACTACAAGGAAGAACTCCTTGTACAGCACTTTTATGTCATCTTAGCTTTTGTTCTGTATTTCCTTGGAAGATCATAAACCATGCAAATAATCCTTCCCTCAAAATATGTTTGTACAGCATTTCTCACAGCAATGTGCCTGTCCAGATGGGAAAGGCAGCAATACAGTTCATCAGCCAGAAAATGATGCTGGTTTCCCACTAACGTTTTTGAAGTTTCTTCATATAACCTAACTTTGAAACTCAGCAGATATCAGCTGAATATATTTTCAGCAGCCTGGAACATTTCATATCACTGACTAGGCACAATCAGTGATGTAATTTAGTGCTAACTTGCAATTTGCACCTGTCTATCACAGATTTCTGGACATGTCCAGTACAGTTCTGTAATCTAATACAGCAGAAAGCTAAGCACACATGCAGCTAGAAGAGCCATGCTCAACTGGAGCATTAGTCTCCCTGAAGGAAAACAGTATGTAAAAATTTACTGAAAAATAAATCTTTTTGTTATATTGATTCTAAAATATTACTTGCTCTCTTATTAGAGTAAAATAAAGTATTATTTGCTAGATAAAGTAGTACATCCATGTGTGATATCAAACACAAAACACATTTTTAAAAACCAACCAGTTGCTTATACAAAGGATTTTGTTCTGCAAGGACTCTGGAAGGCCTCGTAGGAATCTCTGAACAATCAAATCCTTTTAAAATTACCTTTCAAAGCTTGGTTTCCTAAGGAAAAAGAGACAACTTATTGTGTAAACCTTACTAACACGACTTCAAAAGTGATAGGACAATTTCAGCTAATTTTGCTAAGAGGGTAGAGGTCCTAAAGATACTTCATTCATTGAAATTTGTTCAATAAAATATAAGAGGAAAACACTTATTAGCAAGTTCCACTAAAGGACAGATACAGGGTGGGTGATGAGTGGTCAGACCTCATACCTTTAGACCAGGCAAATAATGAGCTACAGATAGCTAGGACCACTGTGGTGGGTAGACACAGAGGAAGGAGCTAATGGTACAGAGATTTTTAAAAAATTGTGACAGGTAGGTAAATTAAATATTACGCTCATCCACCCATGGATTGCTTTGTGTCAACTTATGCTCCAAATAGGTAACAGACTACGTACCACAGGTTGAGGTATATCACCTGTTTTCCCACTAACAAATAGTTGTTATTTGAATAGTGTTATTTGAATACTACCCCCTACACTACTCTAGAACAATGCAAGGAAAAAGAGAGAAGTAATTTAATCTACCCTGCCTGTAGTTCTTTAAGATACTCTGCCCAGATTCTGCTTTTTAAATCCAGCAAACAGAAAGACCAGATTCAATGCATCAGCTTTCTACCCTTGCTGACCACCAAAAATGCCTCCTCCCTCATTGCTAATCAAAGGCCCACTTCCTGTGGCCTACACCAAGACGTCAGGACTATACTTACACTAAAAATTTACCTTACACAGCAGAGACAATGGTAGCATAGACTGTATCAGCCTACAGAAACCTTGGCTAAAATCTTCACTGACAGAGCTTGACTTCTGGCACTTCAACATATCACATTATTGTTAATGTTTTTAACTCATTTAGCATAGAATTTTATTTCTAGATCTCTGCCATCCCCTTGGTCTACCTGAAGTTTTGTACCTGTTAATGACCATAAAGCATACTGAACTCAGCCCTCTGTACAAATCTCAAACAAATAAGTATCATTCCTACGGGCAGACAGAATTACTAATGCTCAAACTAAAGACAATCCTAACCTCACCTTAAAATTTCAGTTTCATATTAGAGTGGCATTTATTCTTCCAAAGGGCGAGACAATAAGAAAAGCTTTCTTTTCTCCTCTCTTTTGTCACATCTTTATGGAAAGTGAATGGAAGAAATTCGAGCTAAAGTGGAAGATCCATTAATCCTTTAAGAACAACAAAGATAAAAGGACTCCACAAAAACAGGTGAAGGGAGTATTCTAGCAAAAGACAGATTTAAGTCAGATCTTTAAAAAAATCATTTCAGAAGAGTATAGGAAGTTATTAAAGACCATGCAACAGGACTGACATGCCAAAATAGCACATAGATTTATCTTCAAAGGGAAACCGCTTCAGTGATGCTAGGGAGGACAGCACATGCATGTAACACTTGGAAACGGAGCACCTGCTGCTGTTTGTGCCAAACAGAACGTTTCCACTGGTGTATCAGTTTTATCACAAGGACTTCCCAACCCAGTGCAGAGCAGAGCACCAGCATTGCTGTCAAGCATTTTGGACTGTCAAGCGAAACAACTGCTGGTCTCATTCTGTAACAACAAACAGAAATAAACCGGTAGAGCTGTTGGCCTTCAAAATTCAGTATCTCCCATCAGAAAGAAACAGCTATGCTTTTTGATGGAGTACACAATCTTCATTTTGTGACTCAGCTCTTTATTCCTAAACTGGGAAAGGGAAGCCAGAGGACAGCAACACAAACACAGCCAGTCAAGTATTTTTACCTACTTGGCTTTTCTGCGCAAGGTATTTGCCCAACAATCAGAGGATTGTTTTCAGAAGGAGAAATTGAGAACAAGGTTGGAGAAGTCATTATACCATGGCATCTCCAATTTACCGGTTATGCTGCCTCAAATATAAACATTTGGAAACTTAAGATTCTGAGACAGTTTATCAACTAGAAGTCCTTAGAATGACAAACTAATTAAACAGGATTTCTCCAGCTATTATTGGACTTCATAAATGTGACTGTCGTTTATCCTAATTCTTAGAATTAGTTCAAGTAAGTAAGAGTTCCATGCTAACATAACACTCAATTTTCCACAAGGCATCACCAGGTTTTTACTCACTAAAGCACTGGAAAAACATTCTTTTAAAGCACTTAAGAAACTGTCGTTGAACTCAGGCAAGCTACCACAGAAGGGTCCTACTACTGTTTTCTAAGTATTTCACTGCAGTTCAGAGGACTATTTCAAAAGTTTATCAAACCAGTGAGAAGAAAATATAGTTAATTTCAGGAAGGCAATGAGACACCCCCCCCCCCTTCAAATATCTGAATGTGGCAATTTTAGTATTTTCTTCCATATAAAGCTATTTCACATGATCACCTCCCAAGACAGATGGCAATCATTTATAAGCTTCATATTGTTTGAATGATAGTTATCAACATTAGCGATACATCCACCTAACAAGCATCTGAAAGGTATTCTCTCTTATACACCTTAGATTTATATCATGTGGCATCGTAAGATTTACCCAAAGTTTTATCAACATAAAAATTCAAGATTTAACAAAAATATACAAAACAAAAGCTTGAAAATTGATCAGAAAAGAAAGCATAGTCAAAAAAAGCGTAAGTGATTCACTTAAGTGAGGGCAGAACCACACAGGGGTACTGCCTTTAGAAACTAAATCAGAATGATGGAAGGGCTCAAAAGCAACAGCAAAGTAAGATAATTGGATGAACACACAAAAAAATTTCTTTAAAAGAAACAGCCTTTAGCACATTTAAGAACAACGATAAATCACAGAGGTTTTCATGCTTAACTGTATTATGTCAGCTACATGGAATTCTGTTTTTCCCACTTTAACAGAATCTTTGACCAAACTGACCTACAGACATAATCCTTAAACAGGCTTTTTACGTCAAGTTTCAGAAAACCAGCAATTCAACAGCATACCAGTAAAATGCAGATGATGTACTAGGCTGGCACACAGGCTGTAAAACTTCGGCATTTAGAATGTGCCTTCAGTCACAAGTAAACATCCATTAGGGTACCCTGATCATCTTCTTCATGTGACAAAAGTTATCACAAGCGCTAGCAACTAAGCCTGACCATTTCTGCTTTTAGTAAATTTAGAACTGTGTTATTGGCAATGACTGAAGAGTATAGGCATGGATACCTGGCAAAGTCTGTTTTCACAACAAATTCAAATTAATGTCCATTCAGATTCTCCTCTTAATTGTACAAAAATGTTAAAATTGTGTATTAATAAATACATATATATATAAATGCATGAGCTCTGATTTTGGTTTTTTCCCCAGTTTCCCACATTCTCTCCAATGATTCTGGCCCTCCTTCACAATTCTAAACTTAAAGTCACTCCTCCTTTCAGAATTAATTCCAGGTTAGGCAGCAAGCTATGCCGAGAAGAGCCTGGTCTCATCTCCAGGCATCAATCCCACCTGTATTTACTACCACAATATACATTGTGGGGATACTTATGTTTTTTAGAATGAGAGAGTAGGAACTCCTCATTTTGCCTAACGTTAGCACACATTTTTCAAAACACAGGCATCTCAAATGGAAAGGCTAACAAAGTAAGTGAAGTAGCCGGTTTTTCACCTAAGCAAACAAAACTGGTATTTCCACTCCCATAACCCTGAAATCAACAATATAAAAAGGATATCCTGTCCAGGAAGCAAAATACACTAATTTGTATTATTCTCACTATGTTTAAAATTGTTTTTCCTTATTTTCACAAAGCCTTTAAAGCGCTATAAAATTGAAGATCTGTTAGTAAAGGAGGCAAGCAAACCCCTGCCATTCAGAAGCCATTTCAGATCCCTTTTCCCCGTCTCCTAACTGGCACCGCTACAAACACACTCTTCCCACTTCAAGGCAGGCAAAAGTCGAGAGCTACAAAATCATGTATGAACACTTAAGAAACACAATCTCAAATGACGAATGATATGTTTCCAAAACAGATTAGATTTAAAAAAGAAAAATAAGTACTTGTGAAGTTCTTAATGACTTGTTTTCTCTCAGGCTACTTATAAACCCAGTTAGTCAAAACAGAATAATAAAATGGCCTACCTTAGAAGTAATCCATTTGATAAGGATCAGAGCTAAACACCAGATCAATGCAATTCCCATTGGATCACCCCGAAGACCTGAAGCACATTCTCCTCCCTGATCCCCGCCGGTGCTGGAAGCGGCGTGAGAGTTTAAGAGCCCGAGAAGTAGCAGCGCAGCAGTAAGGCAGAAGGCAGAAGGCAGGCAGGGGCTGCCGGCACCGCCAACAGCTGCGCGAAGGCTGCAGTCACCTGACAGCCCCAGCAATGTGCTCCGCGTGAGCAGCGCTGCCCCATACGTCTCGCTGCCAACTCCATACTCAACAAGAAAGTTTTACGACCAGAGAACATGGCAAACAGTAAAACCTTACTAGATCCTACAGAAATGCTAAAAGGAAATGAAAAGCCACGATTACATGCTTTTATAACACATACTTTAACCCAGCAAAGCTTGCTAGACTGCAGGATCAAACTCCAGCACTCAAACCACCTGAGCTAATTCAGGATACTGCCTTGCCTTTAAAAACTATGAAAAGCCTGTTTCCAGCAGATTTCACCATAACCAATATTCACAAGTTCCTTTCATCTCTGCAACCTGGAGAACTGCTATGAACTGAACTTCAAAACATATTTCAAGATTGCTTTTATAGCAACTTACTATAAATAACGTTAATGAAAGAAAGTTAATGCACTGAATACATGCAATCATTGAAACCAATCACAGTTCTCTAATCTCTTTTGTCCACTGAATACCAAGCCATGCTCCATACTGCCTTTCTAGCCACACATACTCATGCCTGGACTGGCATGTTGCTTTGGTTTATTGCTTTAAGGGTTGAATTTGCCTACAATCCCCCTCTCCCGCCCCCAGCATTTTCCAGGGTTCGAAAGCAGACTCACTTCCTCCAAGTGCACTGATTATGCAGCCAAGCAGTCCTATATACTTGGTGCAGCTTTGAGATTCATTTTAATTTTTGTAATTTTAAGCTGACAAAAATGTTTCATTTCAGTAATACAAAGAAATCTCAAATAGTTTGGGGAAAAAAAAAGCAGCTACAGAGGGAAAATGCGAACAGTGTGGGATACTGAGGAGTTTAAAAGGATGAAGTTGAATAATTGAAAGGAAAATCATTTGAAGATTCCGTTCTTCCTATAATTTTTTTATTTTAAGAAGATCATATTGCAAATTCCAATATGTGCACAAAAAAGAAAAGCTAGCACAGATTACCAAAGGAGTAACTTTAACACTGAGAAACTAATTGCCTCCTATCCACAGGAAAAGGGGACATATACCACAGTGGATGCTTAGCGAATGAAGGAGAAGACTTAACTGGGATAGGGCTCTTTGTTATTTTATAATATGATTTCTAATATTTGTGCTGGCTTTTAAGCTATAATCATGATCTTGGCACCAGCTTTGGGTTCCCACAGCACCTATCTTCTGATCTCTCTCCACCCCATGCCCCTGAAAACCAGTCAGATCAAAACCATAGGCAAGAACATTCAGAATGGACCTTTTGGTACCTTACTTAAGGAATACGGTGCTTTATCTAAAGGTCAGGTTCCACCCCAAAATACAGATGTTACAGCGGTAGATTTAAAAACATTACCATCTCCAAACAACTGACAAGACTAAGACACCCTGACAATTAGTCATCACCAGTCTAATGTTACTTCAAAAAAAAAAAAACAAACCAACCCATAATAAATGGTATTAGGTTCTATCTGCATTAGGAATTTGGCACAACTGGAGCAGATCAAAACACATCTGCTGCTGAGGTCTTTACACCTATACTATATGAAGCCCAGGAGCTTTTTTTTGCAGGCCACATTTATTCAAACTTCCTGAACCTGCCCCTAGCACAGATGGTTCAAAGCTGCCAAAAATGACTGACAACCTCTACAACCCTATCAATTAGGATTAGGATTAGAGTACATTTGGTGCACACAAGGAGTGGAACAGCTTGGTTTCTTTCGGAAGGAACCTAGTTAGCACATACCAAAACCACTCTGGAAAACACAAATGGGCATGATAAACAGGGACAATGAGGCGATTTGCTTCAAGACTGAACTCTCCTCCAAATAAAACTAACACAAATAGCCTTACACTCTTTGAAAAGTCAAGCATTTCTCTCCATCACCACTACTTTCAATCCCTGATCAGTCTTCTCTTTTTCTGTCTCAAAACACATTAAGATGTTCTTGGAGTATGTGGATGGTGTTGTCCCAGGTGCATGGAGCAAGTCTTTCTTCCATCAATATCGGAAACACAACATTATCTTAGAAAACGAAGTGATGCAAAGTAATCACCCTTTCCTCCTTTCCCCTTTTGTCTTCCAATATTAAGTGGATTAATCAATTAGCCTTCTCTTACTGAAAGTTCTTCTTAAAACTATTGTCTCATGCATAAGCTTAATACCAGAACACAGAAATAAAGAGACTTCCCCATGTGTTAAGTACCACTACAACATTATTGTTTTAACTATGGCTTGGAAGTGGAAAGACTGTTTCAGCAACAGGATTCCAAATCTAGGGACAAAGGACAGCCAAAAGGTGCACTGGCTGTGCAGAAGTATGAGGAATCAACAAAGAAGCTAAAATGCTTCTTCTGGGGAAAGTACTGCTTTGAATAATCCTATTAACAATTCCAAGGTGAAGGAGAAATAAGTGATGTTTTACAAGTATAGGAAAGAAATTATTCAAGATCAATAGCAAGTACAGTAAACCCTCAGGTACAGGGCTATTAAAAAAATAAGATAGTATTAAATTCACTCTGTGATAACATACTGCCTATTATACTACCTAAGTTCTGGGAGTGCGATCAGTGATCCTTGGGCTGTGGACGTCACCATCTGTCTCAGCTTCATCTTAAAATGACGAAGCACACCGGAAAGAACAGCTATCATATATTGCATTTTTTGTCTTTTAAAAGTTATGGGAGTTCCTAAGGCTCTTTCATCTTCTTTCTTCCTCTCTTCTTCTTTCCTGCTTTTTAGCAGATTCTTCTTCAGTTTTTCTGAAATTCATTTTCTCAATGCATGCAGAGATATCATGTTTGATAAGGCAAGATTCCCAGTACTTAACACTTAAATATAGCATACAAGTTATTATCTCATTCCTCTCTCCTTACCATCAGCTCAATTGCTTCAATTGCAATTGCTGTCTCTTACCATTTCCAAACATAAATATCCCAATGACTTCCATGTAAACTTGATACACAGCACTGTAGATACATCTAAGCAGTTGAAGGCACATTTTGCTACAATTTTTGCATTTGCTAAGTAAACCTTTCTGTGTAATTCCTTATAAAACAAGAATTCATTATCAATACAGCAGAAAGCACCTGGGATCTTACAACCATCGTTACAAAGATTCCACTAAGGAATTTGCTAAAGATATCAGTTTACTCTTATCATGAAACTGGCATCACATAAGAGCAGCTCCTACCCATTCAAAGTAGCTCCACATTAATATGCTATAGTGATTTCAAGGATCCAATTACTTCAATTTCCTAGAGATCTGCACGGCTCCACATGGAAGCCCATTATTTCCTATTAGTGTGCTCTGTTATTTGAAGTACCAAGTACAGGATCCTAGTTTTACTTGTGTATTTCTAAATACTCAACTGTTACAATCCTTTTTTTTTTTTTTTAATAAATTTCAGCAGTCCTGAAGAATGGCTCAGTGTTGCCTTATAAACCTCAGTAACTACTATATAGACTCATAGGCTCACAGAATCATCCAGGTTGGAAAAGACCTTTCAGACCATCGAGTCCAACCCTTATCCTAGCACTCTACAAAAGTGTCTTTAAATGCTTCCCCCAAAAAACATTTAACTAACACCTACAAGAAATCCAGAGTTTAAGCAACAGCACTATATTTCACAGACATTACTGGGTCTCATATGATGCTGCTGTTTAAATGCAGCAGGGCTTCACAAGTCTCCATCACCACGTGAGTTTTTATGCAGAAGTTTGAGGCTCATTGCTAATCACTCCTATTTTCCAGAGCAACCTGATTTCACATGCATGCACTTGTACACCTGGCCTAGAAACGAGATCTGCGTGGAGTCTCCTTTGCCCTTCAGACAACCCTTTCCAGAACAGGCACAGGACAGTGGTTTGTGGCGCACTGATTTCTAGGATACATTCCTGATGGCATAGTACTTGTTATGGACCAGTCAGGGAACTTCATGTTTATATTAACAGCATGTAAAGACAGCAGAGGAATAAGCCTATCATTTACCAATTCATCAGCACATAGTGTAAAAAAGAAAAACCACAGCTCTAAATTAATTTCCATCTTTTCTTCACTCTTCTTCCTGTCTCATTATCTACCATGTGTGACCTCTCTCTCCAGCAGACTTCACTAATAAAGAACAATTAAATGGTAATCTATGAGAATTACTCTTGTAAGAAATGCAGGTAGCTATTGCTGCAGCCCAACCCAACCACCAAACACTGCACTCCAGGAAAATAAGAGAATACGCCATTATTTTTACCAATACCAAGAACAGACCTTTTAGAATTTCACAACATATACACACTGACCAACTTTTACAAATGCTACTTCCATTTATATCTTCATTTAAAATGTTACCTAAGCATTTTACTTTTAATTCAGCTTATTTAAAACATTTGCCATGTTAGCCTATGTAGCAAGAAGGTACAAGATTCCAACTATTCTAACTGCTTATTAATAAAGCTACATGTCACCTAGTAAGCAATAAGCAAACATGAAAAGTTAAAGAAAGTTAGCAAAATTCACCTTCTTTACTACATATAAATCCATCATTGCTAGTTAATTCACTGCAGCTAAACTCAAAAGGCTGTTGATTTTAAACCAAGGGCTTAGAACTCCAGAATACAAACTTACAATGCCAAGGATGAATGCAGATCCAGAAGGCAGAATTTACCAATTCCCTGAGAAAGCGTTTTTCAGTTTTATACATCTTCCGTAAGACAGAAAAAGAACAAACGCTGTCTCCCCCTTAAAACAGAAGTATCCAATCTCAGCACATGAAAGGAAGCCAATAACCCTGCATTTCTATACTGCCACTCATTCATCAGCTACTCTAACGTA